ATTCTCCAGTTTATGTGGTGTTTCAGGTTTGTAGTGTCAGCATTAGCTCTGCATTAGTGTTAGTTCTGCGTTAGCTCCATGTTAGCATTAGGTTCATGTTGGTGTTAGCTCTGGGTTGGCGTTAGCTGCACACTAGCTTAATTGCACATTAGCTTTAGTTTTGCGTTAGTGTTTGCTCTACGTTAGTTTTAGTTCCACATAAGTATTAGATCAACAGTGTTAGCATAAGCTTTGCAATAGCTCCATGTTAGTGTTAGCTCCACATTAGCTTCACAATAGCTCCACGTTAGCGTTAGCTCCACATTAGCTTCACAACAGCTCTGCATTAGTGTTAGCTCCACATTAGCTTCACAATAGCTCCACGTTAGCGTTAGCTCCACATTAGCTTCACAATAGCACTGCAGCAGTGTTAGCTCTGCATTAGTGTTAGCTCCACATTAGCTTCACAATAGCACTGCAGTAGTGTTAGCTCTGCATTAGTGTTAGCTCTGCGTTAGCTCCACATTAGCTTCACAATAGCTCCGCATTAGTGTTAGCTCCACATTAGCTTCACAATAGCTCCGCATTAGTGTTAGCTCTACATTAGCTTAACAATAGCTCTGCATTAGTATTAGCTCTGAGTTAGCTCCACTTTAGGATTATCTCTATGTTAGCATTAGCTACATATTAATGTTAGCTCCATGTTAGCTTTAGCTCTGCACTGCAATAACTTATACGTCACAAATCGTAGTAATCGCAAAGTGAAAAATATTAATGTCAGTTTTGCAGACGATTTATTGTACATAATGATTTTGCCACAGATTTTTTAAATAAGAACAAAGACTATTAATTGTTTAGCAAGATTAATGCTGGATAATTATTAGCTGTACAACACCAGCTGCAGCTAAAGAGTGATAAGAGGTTTATCAGCTTTTGTTTTAGTTTACATGAGCAACAAAATTCCTGTCATACACAAGTGTGAACAAATTTGCTCCAGATTTCTTTCATTCCTACACAGAATGGTGATAATTTGTTGTCGAGTGTTAAAGTGATGTCATGTGCAGAATGTGATCAGAAGCTTCTCAAGGCTGCCATTTTACGCCCCATCTCTCTGTCAGAGCTTCATGTTGTCTGAACTGTGACCCTTTAGAATAACTACAGGTTTATTTCTGCCTCTACCATCATATTTTTACACCGCTCCTTTATTTACAAACCAACACTGAAATATGTCAGAGCTGATATGACGAGGCTTCCTCGGGAGGAAATGACCACAAGAGGACTCCCACACACTTGTTACTCAATTTGTTTTTAAATAACCAACTGCTTTATGGGTTATATAACCCCAGCAGAGCTCTGAACACAATCCTTCCACATCATCATAAATACTTTATCTAGGTTGATTATGCATTTAAAGAAGATTAAGAGTTTCTCTACAGCTCTGTCCAACAATAAACAGCTCATATTTTTAGTAAAGATCATTTCAAWAGCAGATAGAAAAGATTAAACGAGATTATGAAATTGAAAGGAGTCGTGGTGGAAACAAATTAACGTGGAAAAAAAGAAATGTGACGTTTCCCACCACTGTGAAAATGTTCTTATGGGACTGAAAATGAGCATGAAAAACAGCTGGCTGACAATATTCTGGTAAAATACACACCGTACTCCTTGCTGGACTCAACAGATCAGTAAAGACCAAAAATAATATAATAAAAAAAAATTTAAAAGAGAAAAATAATCCAGCAGGAACTAAACAAGAAACAGAGATTTACTGAGAGCTGGCCTGGAAATTTTCCTGGCACATTTCATCCTCCGGTAGCACAGCGCTTAATGSATTCAGCATGATATCATATCAAACATGCAGTATGTTCAGAGAGTAAACGGAGATATTTTAGTCCCTCCTGATTTCATCTCGTACACAGAGATAAAGACAGATTACAGCAGGAAGGAAACAGGAAGACAGATTAAAAAGAAAACACTCTTGGTTCAGTGAAAACTGGCTGATTATAGGGATTATTTTTATCTTCACGCCTCGCAGCTTCAACAGCAGCATGACTGTCCTGTTCTACAGAACTGTCTGCTTGAACCTCACTGAGACCCATCAGCCATTACATTATGACCRTTGGGCCTCACGTAAGAACCGTTCGCACAAACAGATCTGTTCTTAAGGTGTGCGTACGAGTGATTTAGGAGAATTTGTGGCATTCACCAATTTTCTCGTAAGATTTTCTTCAGATACGAACAAAATTCATGAGTGGTCCAGACCTGTCGCGTATTTTGCGAGCTGTCAGTCTGCTGTTATCCAGACTGATTTTCTTCTCTAATAACTTTATATTTCATTAGTTTGAAGATATTTCAAGTTGAAAATAAATCACACTCCATAATTATGTTACAGAAGGCTTTTCTGTTTGAACTGGAATTATAATTTTAAATGTAATAATGTAGACTAACGACATAAATTGGTTAGAATAAATTAAATTAGCTATTAATGCTGTTGTATAACACTACAATATTAATATGACGATCTCACAGCTACAAACACTTCGTATGAACTAAAGTAAGAGAAATTTAGGAAAAGGATACGAACGTGTTCCTGCATGAGGCCCATTAACACCATCTGTGTTGGCCTGACCTACAAACTCCTCAGATATGAAACTGAGAGAAACAACTTCTCAATCACAAAATGGTAGTCCAAATTCTATAGATTGTGTGTTGTGTGTGTGTGTGTGTGTGTGTGTGTGTGTGTGTGTGTGTGTGTGTGTGTGTGTG